AGCTCCTTCAAAATTTAGCACTTTCCTTAAAAGAAACCCTGTAAGTTACTGAAATCTTGTAGGTATGTGTAGAAACTGCATGTTGTAGAAAAGGAAAAGGTCCAGGTGTGACTGCAAGACCTCTTGAAGCGGGAGTTAGAACTTCTAGGAATGTCCTTCAGCTTGTGAATTTTACGTGAATCAAATGTAAAATATCTTAGGAGTCAGCCTTCTCTCAAACACATTGCTATGCTTCTGGCAGCCTTTCTTCCTCAGCCTAAAACAGTAACAGGGTAGACAACATTATACCACGTTGAAGGGAGGGAGGACTGTTACCCAAACAAGAATATTACTACAAAAACCCTTGAAACAATTGCACAAATATGCTCTGCAGAACAGGCAGATGGAGTTCAGTGTCCTGGGAAGAGATGGGGCTTGGAATGGATACTCAGATCCCTGAGTATTTGCATAAAACAGGATGTCAGAATTTTTAGACTGAAGATGGTTGTGACTCAGGGAGTTTGTGCTCAGCTCTGGTGGTCATTTGCAATTACTAGTGTGAAAAGACTTAATGCAAACTAACAAAAAGAACATGCTGCTGTGGCTGTGCATTACTTTGTCTGGTATAATTAATGTTTACTTTGAGGAGTCAGTGTTTCCTGTGAAGTGTTTCTTTCAGTTCCCCTCCTTCCCCGTGCTTCCTATCCAGCACTGATGACATTAAATTTGCTTGTTCTCACGTTTTAAGCCATCAGTCTTTCAGGTGTAGTGTAGGTCATTAAGGCTGCCTGAGTGGGGAAAACCACTTTCTGTGATCTCTTTGATACTGCAGGTGCCAGGCTAAAGACTTGAGCTCTGTCTCTGTGGCAGAGTGGTGCAGAAGGAGCTGGGCCTGGAAACAGCCAAAGCTCTGCTTTGTGGTTTAGCCAGGGAAAAGGAAACAGCTGAATTTTCCATCGTGCTGCTGCTGTCTGATGACAGATGCCTTGAGCACAAGCTGGGCCTGGAATGGCTCCAGAGCTGAAAGTCGAAATGGGAGATCTCCACCCATATCTTTCTGGCATGTTTGTTGTGTGTTTCTTCCTGGAGCTGTGGCTCCTGAGGCAGATTAGGCCAATTTCCCTGTGCAGTGGCAGCCAGAGGGGACGTTCTGCCCTGTCTCCCCACTATCCCACCAGCTCCTTCCATCCACAGCCATGCAACCACTTCAAAGATATATTTACAAGCCAGAGGAAGCATATCAGAAAGTCTAAATAAAAGGGGACACACAGTAAAAATACTCAGAAGAGGGAGGAAAAGCAATGATTGCAAATGATGCCATCTCCCTTTAATTGTGACTCAGGTTTCTGCTGTACTGACTTAATACTCCAGTACTATTTAGACAGCCTGGCAACTCTCTAATAAAAGTGTATTTTATGAACCTTCACTTCTGCCTTGAGTAAGAATTTCTCTCTGTAACTGGAGCCCAGGTATTTTCCCATGTGATATCATGGCTTCCAGCAGTTTATTTAGGAAATCTTACTGGCATGATCCCCTGCTCTATAAAAAATACAGACCTTTTGTTTGTGTTCTATGCCAGGTGGTGATAGGTCTCATCTCACTCTTTCTTTAATAGAGCAGAAGGACTAGTATATTAGTACTGGCAGAGGTAATGTTTGCAATGAGCTCTTCTTTTATACCTTGAAGAGAGATTTTTTGCTCTGTGCCATGGGAGAGAACTGTAGTGTGCCAGAGTTGAAAAGAAAAACCTGTAGCTGTTGGTTTTCAAGAGGCATTGGAAAATTTTGTCCTGGGAGTATGCTGAATCCTGCTCACTGAAGGAGAAGAGAATAGAATAGAATAGAATAGAATAGAATAGAATAGAATAGAATAGAATAGAATAGAACAGCCTTAGAGGGAGAGCTTCAAACTTTCTGCTGTGAGTTTGGTATTGTTGGGGGACTTTTAAGTCTTGTCATCAGATTTTTTTCTGCTCTCTCCCTTACCCACCAGCTCTGGAAAAGTACCCATGAACAAAAAACGGAAGCATTTAAAGAACTGTGATGAACAAAACAAGTCAGGGGATAAGGAAAAGGGCTCTGGCTTCCCTGTAATCATGGCTGAAGTTACTTCTGATCATATTTGTTTCAGTGAGTGGTGGGAACACCATCCTATAATTGGGGTCCTGATCCAATTTGTCATTGGACTTCTATAGCTGGCTAATGAAGGTGATCACCCTGTAATTAATCTGTGTGCCTTTCCTTTCTGTACATATTTGAAATATAATGCACATCACCTTCAGTCACGTTCCTCCCTGTGGTGAGGGTGGGGATCTCTGCTCTTGCAGGCATGTGTTTCTGACAATCCAGTTGGTGAGGCATGTTAGGACTGTCTTCTTGACTTGCTATTTGGCACAGGAAAAACTTTTTTTTAATTCAGAAGGTTATTTGTGTGCTTCTGTCATATCTTAAAGTTTACTTTGAAATTTATAAGAAGACCCCTCTCCACTTGGAAGCACCAGCGTCCCTCTTACTCCTCCTTAGCTTCAGGCTTCTCTACAACTCCCTCTGGCTTTATTTTAGTTAATAGCTTTGTCTTTAAAAAATATCCCTGAGAATATAACTTGAAACATAAGTCTTAAGTCTGTAATAATCTGCTTGCTTTCCTAGTAATTTTCTTATTGGATCTGAGGTCAGTTATATCTGCATGATATGAAGAGAACCCTGAAGCTGTGCATGCCTAAAGTCACTTCCCTTGAAGTGCTATTTCTTATTGGCAGAGCACATAGATACCAGAAGGGAAGAGATGAATCTGCAACGCACAGAACAAAAAAACTCCTTCAAAGATAGTTGCAGGTTAATATAGTTTAACTTCTTGTTACCAACTACTGTAAGCATCAGAGGGAGAGGGGAACAGGCAAAAATTTGGGAACTAGCAAGTCATTCTAAAAAGTTATCCCACTTGAACATACTTTGAGACACTTAAAACTCACACAGGTTGAGGCCCTGTTTTAGCAGTTACACTCAAGAAACATTGCCTTTCACTCCACTGTATAGGCATTTTAATGGTGTCTGTGACCACAGTGATGTTTCACAGCAATTCTTATTTGTATGGTATTCAGTGGCTATGAACAGATAAATACAATGATAATTTTATGTAGAGTTTTCTTTGTCAAGTGTTGGTTATATATCACATTAATTTAGACCTGAACTACAAGAAAATGCATTTTGAGATATTGTTTTAAAAAACCCAACTAAGTTACAGTGAACAGGGAGTATTTACAGTGGAAACTGTAAGATACAAAACATGTTGCTTAGCCAGAAAAGCAGGAGTTGCCTCATGAAACACTTGCACAGGTGTGAAAGGTAAATTTAGGATAGGTTTTTCAAAGCATCAAAGTCACCTTTTTAAACTTGGCAGTGACTAATGTTCTCTTAATTCTCCTGCCTATATATAAAAACATAAGCCTTGGTTCCCAGTCCCCTCCATCAGTTAACATCCACAAGTTCCTGTGAGCATCAGTGCTTCTTTGCTCCTTATCAACATTTGAAACCAAAGTACAAAAAATAAATACAGCATTGAACAATGACCAAAATTAAATTATGTTTTCTAGTACTGACATTGCTTTTCCTCTCCAAAGAAGATAACTTTGATAAAGCCATCATTATGTGGTAGAAAAAAAGCAAGCCAGTTGCCATGGCCTAATTGCCTTTGCTTGATAAAACCATAAATATTACATCTTGAATTAATACGGCTAACCATTTAATCCTTATTTCACCTTTGGGAACTTTATGGATCCTAATATAAATTATGTAATAAGATACATAAAGTTGAGAAATTAACTCTTAGTTTTGTAAAGGGAAATTACTAAAAAATTCAGAGAATTTTTGCTACAGTAAATACCAATAGTGATTGTACCACAAATTGATGCCTTTGGGAGTCACTGCCTGCTAACAGCACAGCTGCTCTTCTACTGTTTCCTGGGATCACATTCATTTTAACAGATCACAGTGGCCCTGAAATGTGAGTGAATGTCTGCGTGACCTCAGGTCTGAGCTGCTGGGAGTTTCTGTTCCAGAGCTCAGAAGATGAACGCAAGTGGGGACTTATTTAGTCCTCTTGAGCCATCAAGTGTGCAGTTGCAGACTTTTTCTGCAACAGTGGCACTTTCAGCTCTACAGCAGCCCATTTTCTAAGATCCTTTCCTCATCCTCAGGGAAGGTTTTGTTTTGTGCAGCATTGCTTTGGAGGAACACCATCAAGGGTGGAGAAAGCAGAGGAACACAACAAAGCTTCCCGGTACGTTTCCCTGATGCAGTGCCGAGGGTCTGATGTGCTTCAGCGGTTTGTACTGTACATGAAAACCTGTGCTTGTGGGCATGGAGGTGATAGCCAACAAATGACTGAACAGGAAAACATTGAGCCTTGCTAATTGCTCTACTGCTGTAAACAAAACTCTCACAGAAACTGACTAACTACGAGAGCGTGTTCCCTTGCTTTGCTGTTCATTTCTGTGGCACCTGAATGTGTTTATTTCACTGAAACCCAGGAGCAGCGACAGTCCCGTTCCTCAAAAAAAAAAAAAAAAGGCAATACTCGGCGACAGAAGAGTCATATGTTCTGGTAAGACAGGCATTAATGCCCATTTCAGTATTTTTTAATGGAAAACCTGTTTCAGTTATAAGAAGAAGAACGACGCGGAGGAGGGGTGCCAGCAGCACCTGTAAGCAAAGGGCGGCGCGCGGGGCACGGCGGGGTGAGGGCAGCAGCGCATCGCCACCGCCGGGGACCGCCCGAGCCGCGGGACGGAGGGAGCGGCACAGCCCAGCCCAGCCCAGCCCAGCCCAGCCCGGCACGGCCCGGCCCCTCCTGCAGCGGACGGGAAGGGGCCGAGGGAAGGCGCCCCGGCCGCCGGCGGAGCCGCCCTCCCTCCTTGCGCTCGGGCTCGCCCACGCCCAGCGCGGCACGGCGCTGCCCGGCCCGAGGCTCAGGCCGCAGGGGCCGGAGCCCGCCGGGGCAGGAGGAGGCGGAGGTGCGGGACCATGCTGGCGGGGCTGGGCCGGGCGCTGCGCAGCGGCAGGCGGCAGCTCCCGGGGCTGCTGGGCTGGCGGGATGGCTGCCCGCCGCCCTCGGCGCCTCAGGTAAGACGGGGAGCGGGCTAGGATCCCCGCGGGACGGCGGCAGGAAGAGGCGGAATTGCCCCTCACGGCTGCTGGCGCCTCGCCCGCCTCTGCCCCGGGGTGCGGCGGGGGCGCAGGGGGACGGAGCTTGGGGCAGGTGTTCCCCCGGTCGGGCTGGGGCCCCACAGGCTGCGGGGCTCCGGCGCTTCCCCCGGGCTGCGGGGCTCCGGCGCTCCCCTCGCTCGCCCCGGGCCGTGCCCGGCGGGGCGCGGTGACTCACGGGCGGCAGGAGCCGGGGGCTCTGCCCCGGGTGACTCACGGGCTGCTCTGTAAACAGCGAGGAGTAAAACGCCAGTACACAAAAAGTTTCTCTTGCGGGCTGTCGCGGTGCTGCTGCTTCTGCCCTGTACGTGAAGTGCTGAAGTCCTCCTGCCTTGAGCTTCTCCGGGCTTTCGGAAGTCCCAGAGGTTCTGTGATTAGGAACAATACAGGCAAACAGACGCGCGATGGATTTAAAGATCTGCTGGCGTGTAGGATAGTGTGATATTGAGAGTCCTGAGCGACTCCTAATTGCTGGGAGAGGTGGCAGTTCAGTCCTTTTTTTGAAGTTCTGAACAATAGACAATAGATATGCCGTGTGTATGCCTGGAGATACTGCTGTGGTGGAGCGGGACAGAGCCCGTCCCTGTGCCCGGGGCCCTCCCACGGCAAGGAAGTCGCTGGGATGTGTGCGGTGACAGAAGGAAGTCCAGGGCGATCTGGCGCTTCTTACTGAGCAGCTTCCTTAGCCCATGTCTCGAAACCTGCGGCAGTGGGTGGAGTGGAGTTGTACGAAATGAACTTTCTGCTTTTCCCCAGTATTTTTTTTTCTCAAACTATTCGAAAAGCCTATTAAAAAATTCCATTGCATTAATTTGCCCCTCATCCCTTAATGCGAATAGCCCTTCTTTGCCTTCTCATGGCTGTATATGAGGACATCTAAGTAGGGAATTTAAGATAAATATTGACTTAGACTCCTTTATCTTCTGAGGTCTTAGCAGGGGGTGCTGCAAACACCTTTTACCTCGCTGAGAGCGTTTGCATTGTCATTCAGCTCGCACTGACACCACCTATTCAGTTTGCCACCTCTGACTTCTCCAGGGTACTGCTTTGCAGACAAGCTTCGTGCTTTTCTAAGGCTCTAAATCGAGACTGAAAGCTGATAAAGCTCTAAGAAGAGACACCAGAAATGAGAGGAGAAGGAGGAGGTGGAGGAGGAAGAGCTCTTACTTTGGCACCACTGTCATAATAGGAAAGAGCAAAAAATGATCGTGTCTGTTACTTTGTGGGATGGAACGACGGTGACATGCATTGGGAATTAAATTCCTGCATCAAATAGGTGAAGCAGAGAGATGTTGTAATGCTGAGGAAAAATCTAATTGGGAAAAGTGTTTAATACAAGATTTGGTTTATTTAATGAGTGGAGATTTTTGGAACAAATTAGTATACAATACTTTTTATGGTCTCTTCAGCTTGCTTCATGCAGTGTTTGGTGATGGGAATCAAGTCTGCCCTTGTGCCTTTTGGGGCCTTGACTGGAGTTTCCACTCGTAAAGCTGGAGGTGGTATTTCAGTGGCTACCCCAGGTTGTAGGATGTGCACTTGGTCATCACATACTGCAAGTACTCAGGTGTTGATGGGCAGGTGTGTGAATGCACAGTGTGTTTGTGTGCTGTGGTTTTGGCTAATAGATACACAGCTGTGGGGATAAACAAGCCATTATTGCTAATTCAATGTGATTTTTTTCAGGTTTGCAGGAGTACAGCAGGGATTTCTGTCCTAAGGAGCTGTGTCCTTAATCATTAGCTTCTCAGCTCCACTTTTAAACAAGAACTACAGCTCTTCCTAAAGAGCTCTTCCTAAAGCTGCTTTGCCTTTCAGAGGGATGCTTGTACAAATTCTGCATTTTGTAAGATTGAGGTTTTTGTTAGGTGGGTCTTTCTGTATTTAAAGTGATTAGTTGTTAGACAGACTCTAGCTGCCTGGAATGTCCTGGGATTGGTGCTTTGACAAGAATGTGGGAGAAATCTGGACAGCAGGCTATGTGCAAAAGAGAAAAGGGCTTAGCAGCATAGGCAGTTTTTCAAAATAATTGAAGCATATTATATTGTATTCTTTGGCCAGGCATTCTTATTACACATAATTTTTGTTCCCCAAAGGCTGCAGTTCATTTTGCTGGAGCCCCAGATTTGTAATTCTGCAGTTATTTGGCATGTGGTAAAACCTAAAGGTTGCCAGCTCTTTTGCTTCCTCTTGACTTGCATGTTTTAACTCCTGCAGCTCACGCTGAAAGAAATGCCCTGCTTACAGTGTTCTCTGTGAGGAACATCTCCCCGTGCCATATCTCACTGGAGAATGCATTTGTTAACACAGAATCGAGGCTTTTAATTGCTGGGGGTTTTGTTGTGGTTTTGTTTGTTTGTTTGTTTTAATTCATAAATCTAAGCCAGGAAACATTGAAGGGACTGGATTTAATTTTTTTTTTTTTCAGATGGTCCTAGTTAGTTTCTCTATAGTGCTGTACTGCTGAATCCTTCTGGTCTAAAATTGTGTTTCTTTTTATGGCCATTCACGTAAGTGAAATTTCTAGTTTAGTCTATGCTATCTCTACTAGCATGCCTGCATTGCTCAGGATGGGTGGCAACCATGGAAAATGAAGAAGTCTGGGTTACAGGGTTTTTCTTAGCTTAAAAGCAGGTTTCTTTGCAGTCACACAGCCCTGTGTCTTGCTAAAACTGTTTGTATCCTGTGTGAAGGTGCTGGAATTGTGACATTTCCTCTGCAAAAGGCAGCGCTTGCTTTGAGCAAATATTAGTGAGGGAAGTAAAATGGCAAAATTTGAATTGTTTTCAAAATGTACCTTTATTTAGCATCATTAATTCAGAATACATTCCATTTCTATGCACAAAATTCTCTTAAAACTGTGCCTCTGGAATATATTGGCAAGGGGAAAGATCGTGTGTAAGCTGGCAAGAGCAAATTGCAAAGGTTTCTGTGAAAAACATTATGGATTTATTTTCTTCCTTGATTGGGATATTGCATATGCTTGTTGCTGAGGGGAATTTTCTTCCTAGCTGCAAACTGCAGCCAGTAGGAGAGTCATTGGGTTTATCTGCAGAAAGCAGAGTAGTGAGGGTTTTGTTTTGGGGCTTTTTTTTTTTGGTCAGATCCCAACGTCATCCATATCTGTCAAAAAATGTTTTTTTCAATGCTTTCAGCTGGTAAATTTTTGACTACCCAGTTCCTCAGACTAACTTAAACTTTTTTCCTGTCCTTCCTGTTAGTTTTTATAGTAATTCTTAGTCTCAAATCACCATAATTCTCCTAGCATTACACCTATCCAGTTTGTCTGTTTTATACAATCTTATAAGCAAGGATCTGAATGGGTCCTTAATAGCCACAGGATGTTCCCATGGAGGTTTTTAATTTTGCCTCTTTCCCTTTTGCATATGACCTACTGCTGGGATTTCTAAGATATTCTGACAGACAGCAACGCCAGGACATCCCAGGCAACTACAGAGAAGCAGATTGTCATTGAATATCATATGCAGCCAAATATTTCACATAAATGTGATTTGAGTCCCTACTTTTTATTTTCAGCCCACTCAAGTCCTTTGGAAATTGATATCTAATTGGAGCCAAGAACTGGGAGTAATTTATGGCCGCTGGGCGTGTTTTCCCTTGTCTTTCCTCCGCTTTGAAAGCCTGGCGCAACAAAAGTTAGCTTGTTGATCCAAATCTTCTTTCCTAAGCAGAAACCTCCTGCTCATACTGGCATATATCAACAAAAACATACAAACTGCTGAACTGTTTGTTTACGGAAGCACTGTTCACTCTTTGAAATACTAATTTCTGAATGTCTTAGAAAAACCTATTTAGAAGATCTCTGGTGCTTCTGCTGCAAAAATTTTCCCATCTCAGCAAGTTCATTTTTTTGACTTTGCTGTTGTGTCTGTGCCAGAATAGCAGGGTGGCATTGGGAATGGCTGCTAGTCATTTGCTGTTTTCTCTTCTCATCTGGCAGCTGGGAGATGGCTCTATTTTCCCTGATAAATACACTTTTGGGGAGAGATGTGATATATAGCACAGAAATTAATCTCTCTTTGTACTTCTGCAGACACTCCCATGAACTGTTTTGCTGTGCCTTCTCTCTCCAGTGCAGATGCTGTAGTTACATACTGGGCTGTGAGATACTCTTGTGAGTGCACATAAAATTACCTGCAAGACACTCACTCCCTTAGAGGTTTGGGGAATTTCTAAAAACCAGCCTCACTCAGGGTTTGAAACGCGTCAACAGTGAGACTTCAAATTCTTGGTGTTGTTTTCCAGTGGGGCAATTGACATAAAAGCAGCTGATTGAAATGTGTAGATCAAATCAGCTTTTCTTGCATAGTGTTGCTTTTTTTGCCTACTCTGAATGTCAGCAGATGTGTGTCTTTGGTGGTTGTGTGAGTGTGGCAGTTCCTAAGGAAAGGAAATGAAAACCAGCTCTGGGAAGGCTGGAAAGAATGTGGTCATTCTCTTCAGCATCACAAGCCTAAGGAAGTTAGAGCTTTTGTGTGCTAAGTCAGGGCTGTGTTGTACTGAAGGAAATGTAAAGAAACTGAAATGCTGGTCTAACATTATTGTCCATAGCAAAATCTGTGCAATTTTTAAACAGATTTCTTGAAGATCTTTCTCATACTTGGTATAGGAGTGTAGAGTACAAGCTGTGCTTCCCAAAGTTTGGGAAGTACATTACTTCAAATATATTCAACAGGTTTGTTGTAAAGGAAAATGAAAATTTATATGACTTCCTGTTGATAGTGACTTTAAAAAAATATTTAATTTAGAATGGGGATAGAAATAGTCATAAGATGACCCACCTGTATTGGGTGCTCCCTGATTAGTAAAATAAATGACAGAAAGTGATGCTGTGATTTCATTTGCAGTGTATGCTGTGATCACACAAACAATGCTGTAATTATAAGTTTTTTGTTGAG